TTCATCGTTTAGTGTTTTGCTTATTTCAGGTAACAATGGATATTACGAGAATAGCTGGTTATAGTTTATGATCAGGTAGACTTAGAATGACTCATTGTTTGGTTTTGATTTTTTGGATATGAAAAATATTAACAAACCGGATGGATTCGTGATTAGCCATATTTAGAATGGCTTATTGTTGGGATTAGTCGTCTTATAAAAGGATTCTTCCATGTTGCCATGGGTTAAAACTTGCCAGACACCATGTAAACCTCTGCACCCAGGGTAACACACTTCAGGTGGTTCGGTCATGTTGGACTATATTATAATTGACAGACCTAATGTTAACTGGCCCAAATTTAATTAAAGCTTAAATATACGTCATATAAAAGCCAAATGTCTGTGTATTGGATAAATATGAGAGAAAAAGCAGTGGGGATTTCGGGTAATGGAGGAATAACAGGAGAATGTTCTATTGAACTAAGGGAGGGATGGAGCTATACTGGCACAGACTGTTCAAGATTTTGTACACTATATTAATCTGGCAAGTACTTAATGGACTACAAATCGCTATATTCCATCACTTCTTATGGTTGCAGCTTGATTTTTGGCCTAGTAACTCACCATTACAGTTTTCTTGATATTTGTTGACTAGATATGGTGCTCTGGGTACATTGTCAGTAAACTGTCCGAAGAAATTTCCAGCAGGAGAGTAGCGAGCAACAACGTAGGTGTCCTTTCCATCTGCACTTTGAGCATAACCAATACCGAGCTTTTTTGTTGATGACCACACGACCTAGATTGTTGGTAAAGATAGTGATTATGGTACTTGTTCGGGATGTTTGGGATGGTATTGTTGGTCATTATGATACACCTATCTGGCTGTGATGATAATGGTGGGAATATTAAGATCATGGTGGGGTTATTGGTATCGTAGAAAAATGATGGTGCTGGTTGACCCATTTTAGAAAGGGTAACGTCGGTCATTAAAGTGTCTATAACAATGATGGTACCATATTGTATAACGAGTGCCCTACCTGGTAAGATTGTTACCAAGGTGATAATGATGATAGTGGCACTGGTAGTATCACCAATAGGGAGAGTGTTGACAGTAATGATAGTCAGAATGCTGGTAACTTAACATCAATGGTGCGGTGAAAGCACCACCATACCTGGGTAAAATGAAAAATCATCTTTCCTTCACTACCAGGTCTTGTCGTCGCTCTTCCTTGTAGAAATGAACAATAATTGTAATCATGCACTTCCTTGTACCTGAAAATAAATTAAGAATGATCATTTGAAAATTTCGTTTTGCCCGGTTTGTTTCTATTTTGTAAGCCCCAATGTTTCGTCTCAGTCCCCAACCTATTTCGCCATGCCGTTTCTGTCTCGTCGGAAATTGCATGAGCTATCCTGCTTTTTTCAAGCTACAGTTTCCCCTCTGTAATAACCTCTATCTCATTCTTTCTTTCACCCTCCAATAATATTACTATTATTCCAGAATTTATCCGACCTATTTCTCGCTATTAAACTTAAAACTATGTCGGCTCACCAGTGTAAGGTGGCATTAGCCACATTCGCTAAGCTCTCTCCTGCACCACTTGGATTGCATGTTGTAGCACCACAATGTTGAAACATCTTATTTGTCTTCAAATACTCGGCGTAATCTTGGGCCTCTTTGGATAATCTGTAAGGTAAAATTTAAAGAAAATTTTGTTGTTGTCAATCATTGTTTCTATTGTATTTGTAATTGTGAAATCATTAATAATTCATCAGTGAAGAAAACACCAAAAAGAAATTATGATCGTTAAGGAGTTTGTATATCTGATGCAAAATCATACTGATTTACATAAACTTTAAGTTCAATTTTCTCACCAGAGTAACATCACAAATATAATTTATTTATAATAATAATAATATGATAATAAGAATGCACTTATTATTTTAGAATATATTTAGGTTGATTTTAAAATTGCTTGTCGCTGTTTATTGTTTTTGTAACTATATACTGTCAAATGTAACCATAGTATAAAAGTCACTCACGTTCACTCACTTTAATTAAAAGATTTTGAATTTCATTTTATCGTTGGTTTTTATTTTACATACTATCAAGTTTACTTGTTATTTATAGTAGTAAACTTGTTTGATTTAACCCCTCCCCCCAGAAAATCATTCAACTTACACTGTATCCAAGGTTAAAGGAAGAACTCCATGAAGCTGTCTGTAGTGATTGTGAAGGTTTAGTTGATCTTGACGAAATGCTGCTAGATTGAAACCTGCATTCACTTGTCTTGAAAAAAATTGAAAAGAAAATATTCACAAGCCTGAAAAGAATTTAATCACAAGGTTTGGTATCATTTTCTCAAGTCATTGGACAAGTGAAAAGAAATTGAAGTCGAAGCGCTGCTGCAGATAATAGAGCAAACAGAAAGAAGCGCAATAACCAAGAAAGATCAGAGACTGTCACTCTCGCATAGCCGTTTATTCAACCATATAAACGCCGTTGCCATCACAGAGCATGAGACATAAACCTATATACAATTCTGACCAACGGATATACCACGGATATACCTGCTATTATCTCAAGTAATGGTGGTCGTTTTTGCATCTTAGTGTTTCAAAGAATTACCATTTACCAGAAATGAAGTTCCTTGAACGGTACCTTTTAGGACGTGGTTTTCCAAACACTACAAAGCATTGAACCAAGAGGATGACAACAATTACACCTTTCATCTTGGAAATAAAAAATATAACTGAAAGTTAGATGAAATATATCTCTTCAAGTTGATAGAAATGCTTGACACTGTTTCAAGTGAGTTTATGTCTGCATGATTGTTCACCAAATATGGTTGCTTGACGCCATGGAAGTTTGTTGAAGTTTGTTTGTTGTTGCGTTACTCTTGGTGCAATTTGAAAGTACAGTTGTAATATTTCTTATATCCAGTGGAATGCCGCTCACATTTTTGGAATTTCTGCAGTTTATCTCAGCTTTTTTCTCTGGTATTAAAATCAACATGTATACAATGCACACGAAGTGATGTAATGCTTTTACAATAGTGTAATTGCAAGGGTCGTTGCATAAATTGTTTTTATACCTTCATTAAAATCAATCACATGCAGGAAAGTTCCGTGATGAAACAATTACACATGCATGAACAATATTAAGAGCATAAAATATCGATAGGGTATGTGATCCTTAATAATTACTTGATTAGAAAAAACTAAAAAGTGCATCAGTAACTAAATTTTTCAAGTTTGCCATAACTATATATTCCTGTTTAATTTTCAAATAGCCTTCTTTTGAATCAAAATATACACTTTCAAACTGAAAGAAATCGGAATGATACGCCTCATTTGACTCGCTATGCAGACGTTTCTAATATCATGGATGTGTAACCTGTATTACGACATTATTCATTAAAGGTACCGCAAATTAAGACTAACAGCAACAAACAAATAAAAAAACTTTTTCCTGCTTCTGGCGAAACTTTAGCAGAGACAGTTATTATTTTGAACGGCCTTTGGCTTTGCATAAATTCTTGAATTTTGAGTTTACTTTAATAGGTTTGTTAAAAACTACTAATTCTTACAATAATTACATAACTCATAAGATCTAGCCAAATATAATATCACATGCAATTTTTCCAGCCTCAAAAATGAGAAAAACCCAAGAAATAGCTTTTCAAGAAGAATGAACAATTGTACAAACTGCAACATAAGATTTGTCATGGTTATTCAGTTGTTTCAACTGTTGGTAAAATTCTAGTCGTAAAATAAATCTTAACGACGAATATAAAGTAGTTATGTAGGAATATATATTATTACCATACAAAGAAAAACCGCTATGTCAGAAAACAATTCACAGATTAGATAGTGATTTACATTAACTGCAAAGTTAAAAATGACGTTTCCTACCTTCATAACAACGTGGACTACAATAGCATGGAATCGCTCTTGCACAGCTCTGCCTTCACAACCGGATCAACCCTTGCCAATTCTTGCCGTTTATATGCTACTTAGCGGCTGCCAGTGGCTGTGTATATATATGAACATGTTCCTTGGATCGAGATATAACCAACAATATGCTGTTTTGTTACCATGGACACTTGAATGGACTCAAGTTTGAGGGAGGGCCGAAAGAATCATCGAGAGTCAGATTGTGATTGCTTAATATTTCAGCTTTTTTGCATCAAGTGTTTTACCTCAGAACGACCACTCGAGAGAACTGGTCGGTTATCAAAGGTTTCCGAATTTTTATATAGCAGACCTTAGATTGGTAGTTTGAAACATCTAGTTTTGGAAGTAACTGTTTTTGTAGTCGAAAAGAAAACGATAGTACATTTGTAAAGGTGATCAATACGATTTTAATTCTCACGTTTTTGATTGGTTGATTTCACAAGTTCTTCATTTTTTTACGTGTGATATTAAGGGTGAACTCGAGAAGATTTAGTGTCTGACTTGTTTGTTTTCCACTTCTATAGGTATTAAAACGATAATTGAAGAAGATGGAGTAATATTGGGGATTAAAACGGAAAATATATTCCACTGGTTCTGGAAGAAATAAAATTTACAATATCTGTTGTGAAATATCTTCATGCATGATATCGTTTCGCGCGACAATTTGGACACGAGAAAGGCTCACCTGCGGTTAAAAAAGCCTGTTGGTTCAATATACAAAACCACTGGACAGACAAATGCCCATAACTTAATGCTCTTCATATCCACTATCGAGATAAGACGTGTGAAGGGGTCAATTTATATATGATGCAGCACATTTGCAGAATAAAAGATGCAATGGAAGAGGAATTTCATTTTTGTTAGGATGAAAAATACACGAGGGATCTGAAACAATGATTATAATTGCCTAGGGTTAGAACAAGCTATAGCTTTTCACAATAGATTTTACAAGAAACGCTAATTAGATGGGCTTAGCTTGGTTATACAATCCAACAACTTAAATAACTGGGGAGTACCTTTTTAAACCATGGCGGTGACTTTAAGTAAATGAAGAATAGCTTATGATCAATAAGATTTTTATTTAATAAATCACAATCTACACTCCATCAATAAATTAAAATCGAAACACAAATGTCTAAAAATCATGCAACACTATATGTATGTAAAAACTATAAGAACGGTCAATAAATACATGAATGAGTGATAAACATGCATTGTATAACAGGTAACGAGAAACGCTAGGTCGTCGGAACGAAAACGTTGCAGTCAGTTTTGCATTTTTACGTGCACTAGTTTCAGGAAAAGCCTTTGTCATGACAAATAAAATAATTTACTTCACATAAAAAGTATCTATATATATTACTGTTTGATTAAAATCACTTTAAAAACTGATTAGAAATTAACGATGTTTCCTTATACGTACGCTATATATTATATTAAGTTAACTACAAACACTATACAACTAAAATAGGTTCCCTATTTAGTTGAACTGAAACGATGTCGGAGTATTGTCTTCTCAGCTAAAGCAAAACTCGACTTACCGACAAAATAGGGGCAGACACTGAAGTAACACAAGTTCCTCAGTTGTATGTTTGCACGGTGAACTAAATTACAATGATTTATTGTTTTGTTCTGTGGAAACCCGTATTGGCAAAACTTTCGATGCCTGGAACCACTGCCTGGAACTTCAAGCAGATTGAAAAATTAAACGTGATATTCAGTCCACAAAACAAAACAATTGAAGTAATATATTCTGATAATCGCCGAGTAATAGGTTAAAAAGACTGGATATAGCCAGGGTTCTTTATCAATGTGAAAGGGGAGCAATATCCTGAATCAATTAACAATCCTCTACTCAAGTGAGAACTGCAAAGCTCCCAAATCCTTTCAGTTCAACTGCTTTCAAAAGCTGTGTTCATGCTATTTCCGCACTTATCGTTTTAAAAGAGAACCAGGGTATCTATCTACCAGTATAAACTGCACTATCTTTCAAATAAAAAGAACTAAGAAGATTCCGCTATAGTTTTCTACCTCGTTGGCTTACGGCCAGTTTTCCGAAGGGGGCTGACAGAACTTGGCGTACTTCCTACGACTCTTCTGCCCCCGGCTGACACAGGGTGGCTTGACCCACTAGGTGTACTTGTGCTGTATTTGCTAAGGTTAACCGCTGTAGGTGAACCAGTTGACTTGGTTCTCCGAGTTGGTGAGCGACTGCTATATCCAGTTCTGTACTCCAGAGATTCGTCCAACCGCCGGGTTTCCTCATCAAGGACTGCAGGCTCATAAGCCGTGTCACGTGACACGCGTACCAAGGATTCTCCGAGCTGATTACGTAAATCTTTTGTTTCTTCGTTCTTGGCAGCGGTACGCTTGATGTATTGTTGCTTCTTCTGAAGTTCGCGGCCTAGCTGATCCTTTAATGTAGCAACCTGCAAACGGGTGGAATAAATTATGAAAAATGTTTTATTTTTCAAGTAGTTGCATCACACACAGACTGTAAATAAAGTTCGATATACATTATGTGACCTCTGACCAATTGGCATTGCGCAAGAATATACTCGCAGGATTTTGCCAACATGTGCACCCCCTTAGAGTCAATCTAAATCACATATACCTGTTCTTCAAGACCTTTTGTCTTCTGCTTGTACGCTCGTTCTCGGGCTTGCGCGGTTTTCTCCATCTGGGTCTGCCATGCTCTTGAACGGTCACTTTCAGACTCGATCTCTTGTCGATGACTTGCAGTGATTTCCAAAACTCTTATGATAAGAAAAACATCAAAGTACAAAGATCATAATTCAAGATCAATTACTGTTTTTAAAAGTATGAGGACGTCTTTTCAAGCGGTACGGAATGTACACAGAGACGTACCGTACCGGTGGTGTGTAATGTGTATTGTGTAGATTGTATCCCACGGGAAACAATCATTGGAAAGAATACATGTATTAAGAACGAGCCGTTATTATTTTAGCCGTGAACAGTAAACTTTACATTACGCGAAATTTTCCAATGTTGTTCCTGTCCTTGCACTTGTGTTATGCAGTTTATTAGCCAGAAAATGCGTCATACTAGACACAGGGTATGTACATATATTCTACCATTGCATTTCCATTAAAAAATCTTACTTTCGCTCAGCTTTTTCTTCCGTCTCAGCCAATCGATTTTGCAAGTCTTCAATTTGGCCAAACATGTCTTGACTTTCTTTCTCTAAAGAGCCAAATGATCTTTCCGCTTCATTTCTCTCTTTCTCGGAACGAGAAAGTTTTTCGTCGGTCGCAAGACGTTCACGTTCAACCTAAAAATTATTACAAATTATATGTACAAAAGTGGAAACAAATGGGAAACACAAATATAAGCTGTGTTTATCTCCAGTTTCTGCAATGGGATAAGAGTGGATGCTATCTCCAATACAATGCTTAAACGAGCTAGTGTACCTTTTCCAAAGTGGTTTTCAAGGCTTTCTTATCTTTCTCAACTCGGATCTGAGCCCGTTCTAATTCTCGTTTGTCTTGCTCAGCCTGTGCCAAGGTCTTCTGTAGGTTAGCTACGCGATCCTGTAACATCCGTTTTTCATCCTGTAGTTTGCCAATACGATTGACAAGTTCTTCCTCGCCTTCTTTCTGTTGTTGAATCATTTGTTGCAACTGCCGTATCTGACCTTCCAGTTCTTCACGTTTGACCTGGAACAAAATGAACAAAGCTAAGTCAATAATACTTTGGCAGCGAGTGGCACCGCAAGAGGCAGGACGAAACTTGTGGTCTCCGAATGGAATCCAAACATGTGTTAAAACAAAGTAAACGTGGGAATAAAACTTAAGAAAAAGTGAATATGAATTATACAAAATTACCTCAGATTCTGCCTCTTCATTTTGTAGTTGCTGAATCCTTTCAGCCATCATATGATTCCTGTTTTTACCATCCTGTTGAGCAGCCTTGAGTGCTTGCATCCTTTCCTGCATTATCTTACGATCATGTTCACTGTTTGTTAACGCCCGTTGTAGCTGCTGTATGCGGTCTTGTAGACCCTGAGTCGTCGTGTTACTATCGTTGAGTGAGACCGAAAGTTCTGAGACTCTTTCCCGGAAACTGTTTTCCTCTTCTTCCGTTTTTGCGAGAGCAAGCGTGAGTCGGTCTACAGTGAGTTGAAGAGAGGTTGTCTTCGATTCCAGGTCTTGTTGTGATCTGAGCAGGTTGTCAATACGTTCCCTCATGGCTTGTTTTTCAGCGTCACTTTCGGTAGCTTGCACACGAAGGCGAGAAACATCCCCTGGAATAGAATGAGAGATGGACTGTGATATTAGGCTTAATGATATCCATAATATGTGACCCATAAGTCCTAAGATTGTCTCCAGTTTCCTTAGAACTAAAGAAAGATATGATGACCCCTGCCTACAAAGTTGTCTGTCAAGATACCCCCTGTAATAGAGGGATGCACTGTTGTGGTCATCCTTTCAAGAGCTACCACACAGGGTAAGAGACTCTCAGGGCCTAAACGGATGCTAGTTTATAGAACGATCTCTAATAATCTAGCATATGCTTAACAGTTCTTTGTTGTGACGGGTAACAGCTCTCACTCTTCCAGAATTTCTGCCAATTTGTTGGTTTGAAAATTGACACAAATAAAGCAGATGTCTGTGCTACATGTATGCTTTCCCATATGCAGGCGACCTATTTGTCGTGAGGATACCCATATCCTAGCGAACAATATAGCCTAACAGAGCCTTCACCCTCCAGGGCTTAATATTATCAGACATTGCAGGCTGTTTCTCCGTTTCAGGGATAAGTGGTTGGAACTACCTGAATTTATTAAAAGCCATACCTTCAAGAGACCGTTTCTTCAACTCAATTTTCGTAATCCTTGACTCAGCATTTTCAATCTGAACTCTCATCGCCTCCTTCTCTTGTTCGCTCTTCGCCTCACTTTGTTGTAATCTCATTACTTTTTCTTTCTGTTGTCTTCGATCATCTTCAGTTTGTCCCAGACCTTCTTCTAAAGCCTCGATCTTCTCGTTCTGGGCTTTACGGTCTCGCTCCAGACGACGGATTGTTTCTTCTTGCATAGTCAGCGCTGTCTGCGCACTACTCAGTCGACTGTCGAGTGTTCGACGACCTAAAAATATAAGGTAAGGATTTGCATACAACGAACCCTTCCTCTTAATGGAATTAAACGTTAGCAGTTACCTTCGTCAGAGTCACCGAGCGACTTCTGAAGTGCCTGCAGTCTTCCTTCGATGCGAGCTCGGTCTTCTTCGACTTCGGTCAACGCTCGTTGCAGCTGTCCCATTCTTGCCTCAGCCTCTTCCTTCTCTCGCGTGGTATCTTTCAATTGTTGTGCGAAGTCACGCAAAGCGACACGGACAGTTTCTGGATCGATTTCTGAAAGGATCTCGCTGGCTTTGCTTGGTGATAAACGACGGACTGGCGAGAGCGAACGTTCGTGAGCCGAAGAGTCCGCCTCGTCGATATCTTTCTCTGGGCTTTTATCAGGGCCTCGGCTGCGTCGGAATCCTTTGCGACGGGGACTGGTACTGCGTACTGGTGATGGAGACCTTTGAAAGAAAATATTGACATTTAAAGCTTGAAAGACGCCCCTTCCAGGATTCAATTTACTTGGGAAATAATGTTCGGATTAATATACAAGTAATGCTGCAGTGAGCAATATTTCTCACACATTATAGACACAAGTCCAGCCGTCTTGTGAGAAACTGTCTTGTAATGGCCATTCGAAATGATGGTTTTGATGATTCACACTGGTCCGTGCCTCTCCTGACGGGTAGTTACCTTACCAGGTGGTAATAAACATTTTAAACAATTCAAAGTCAAACAAAAATTTAATTATATCACTCTCTTCAAGACACAAAATTATTATAACTGGAAAGGGCTGGAGTGAACATTACGACACTAGTGGTTCGAGGCTTTGTTATACGTTGCAATGCTGACAACAGCTTCGCTTGGGCTAACTCTTACACTACATTGATAGGAATGGTAAAAATAATATTTACCCATTTCCTCCAGCCCGGATACCCAACGTCCTTCTCAAAGTCGAGTGCAGGTTTGCTAATTTCACTTCAACATCATTCTTTGCGCCTTCTGTGCGAGCCAGTTGTGCTTCAAGGCCAGCGATTCGTCCCTCGGCACCCGAGTACTTCAATTTCTGTTCACTCAAGTCTTGATTTGTGTTCTCCAAAAGATTTTCAAGATTATGAACTTTTTCGGCCGCTTTCTGTTCGGCTTTACGGATTGTTTCGATGCTCGTCTGGAACTCTTTCTCTTTGCCCCGCAGTGCCTCATCAAGCTCCGAGAGTCTTCGTTTTAGGAGGGCGACATCACGCGTTGCTGTTTCTTTGGCGTTTTCTGTGTCAGCGAGACGTTGTTTAACCGTCATGTTGTCTCGACGACATTCCTCAAGCAGTTGCTCCTCTTTGGCAAGATGGTCTTTCAGGTCCGCGAGTTCTTTCTTATTTTTAAGGCATTCCCCGTCCAATAATTTGACCTGCAAATAAAAAGGTTTTATGAGAGGGAAAAAAGATACTGTATAAAGGATGAAAAACACTACAAATAGAATACAGGTGAAGTTAAACTTGTAAAAGCAATCACTTTGGAAAAAATGGCTTCATTCACCCGTGCTACTCCTTCAAAACTATTGACTAATACTCTGATTTGTAGCAGCAACTTGTAGACCAACAAGTACATGTCACACTGACAATACTTAGCTGGTTTTCCACTAGGCGAATTTGTTCGGCCGAAGCTACTTTTTCCTTTGTCGGCATCGCTTATCATGTCAGTAAGTTGCCTAGCAGTGGAAAGCGGGCTTCACTCTCCCCTGTTTAAATACTCGAATTTACTTATCATTATAGGTTTCATGCATTATCTCTCAACTGGCAGAGGTTCGCAGCTCGTGTGGGATTTTTCTTGCACAAGCAAAACAGACAAAAGGTTTATTCCTCGGTGTTTTCAGTCACTAACCTGGTTGTGAACTTGCTGTAGTTCTCTTCTGGATTCCAATCTTGCTTTCTCGACCTCTCTCAAGCTGCTCCGTAAATCACCAACTTCCTTCTGAAGAGCATTCTTTGCTTCGTCTAACGTGTTCATTTTCTGAACGGTTTCTTCAAGTTTTCTACGAATGTTTGTCTTTTCGGCTTCAGATTTCTTCACTTTACCTAGATCAGAGCAAATTATCGGCTCAATTTTCATATTAACAACCACAATTTAAGTACAGTGACCTCTTACCTTTACACTTAAGTCTTTAATCCTTTAATCCTTGTTCTTAGCCCGAATCCTAACCCACTCCTAACACTTTTTCTAACAGTTCTACTTTAGGGCATTTAGGCTCACAGCAGAACATACTGTAAGTGCTTAATCTTAATCCTATTCTAATCTAAAATGTTAAGAATTTATGTGTGGGATGTCTATTGTTTTGTGTCTAATCTACCAAGACAGTGCACCAAAGTTTTCGTGACGTCGCCATTTTGGGACATTTCTCATTTCAAAATCATAGGAAGATGTAATGTTGTAGAACTACAATAATTATATATACACAATCTAACCTCGCAGCTCATTGGCTGTTGTTTGAACGGCATCTTTCTCACGGTCACTGTCTTTCAATTGTCGTTTTATATCTATCAACTCTTTGCGGAAAACTTCGCGCGCTTCGTCGCCTTCTCGGATCTTCCGTTGAGAGTCGATGAGCTCCCGACGGATGTTGTCACGTGTTTCCTCCACTAGTTTTAATTGGAGCTTCAGTTCACCAATCTCACGAACATTGTTTTCTTTGGCTTTCGTCAAGTCTTGGACATGGGTCTTCAGGTTGTTTTTCTCCGCCGTGTTGACTTTACTATATGAGAAAAGAATATTTAAAAAAAAATAAAGAACACTCCTGGTAATCCATGGAGAAGGTGGCTGAGGAGGCCAGGGTGTTTCGGTAACGCTAATTCGTGGTAATAGCATCGCCTGTTAGGCAACTACACGAATGTGTCGAACTGAACACCGAAGGTTCTTTATTTTATTCACGCTAATTCACGCGCAAAGATACAACAACAGACTTGTTTATTTTGTACACGAGTTCACAAGACTTCGAGTTCACAAGAAGTTCTCAATATGTGAAGTGGACTGATGGTTTTTTACAAATGAAAAGAACATAATACCAGGAGATGTATATGTATGAAATACTCTGATATCATGTCACTGCGTCAAAGGAAGACCCGCAGCAGTGCATGCATGCTACCATTAAAACCAGCGATTGCCTCCAGACAGCCATGTTAATCAGGTAGGAGTGTCATGCAATAGATATCTCCCCACCAGACTCTTCTTTGAGGATTTCTTAAACTATTAACTTACTTGGAATCTTCATATTTGCTCTTTACATTTTTCAGTTCTTGTTGGAGCGTTCCTATCGTGTGCTATAAAGAAATTGATCGGAACTTTAAATGGTGTCCTACAAGGAAACGTGACCTACAAGTCATATATGGTAGATAAAGCAGAACATGGTGCAGGGGAGAGCCATTGAAGGAATGAAACTATCACCTAATCTCCCTAGGACTGGCTTCAATTCCCGAAATTACTTCAGCGAATCAACGCTGCTCTGGAAGTTACGGGTTCAATCACCATGTGGATCGCCGGATTGTTCTCTGAGCTATTACAGCTTATACAAGCAAAACAAACATATTAACAACATTTGAAGGAATAGAAAGATGAAGAAATTCGACAATTTTAACTTGATCTCTCTTTATTCTGCCTGAACTAATTCCATTAACAATTATCATCTTCGTCTCATTACGGCAAGGCTACAGTAGTAGTACTGTTGTTAATTACGGCGCCCAAGGAGTATGTAAACCGTTCATACCTTATCTTGTTCGGTTCGGGTGAATGACTCTCGTTTAAGTCTATCATTCTCGATATTACTTGCAGCTAAACTCTCCTCATGACCCTTTAGTTTCTCAAATAACGCCGATTTCTCATTCGCTGCTAAATGAAGTTCTTCCTGTTTCTCGTTTTCCGCCATGAGCAGTTGCTCGTCTCGTTCTTTTTGAATCAAAGAAATCTCGTTCACCAAGTTTGCTCGCTCGCGTTCAAGTTTCGATGCAAGTTCGTCCTTTTCCTCATTAGAGCGTTTCAAAACTGCTTCCTTTTCTTGCTGCAATTGAGTAATTATATTTTCTTTCTCTCGCTTCATTTGAGATCTTTCCTCATCAAGTCGTTCTTCCGCCTTAAAAATATAAAGATATCAAAATCGTGAAATACAATACAATGATTGAATATGCAGAACATTCATCGATTGGAGTCATTTCACACGACAAATCGAGTATGGCAAAGTGAAGCAATTACAACTTGTTTGAAAGGGAAAAATTTTCACCCGGCACATACAGGAATGCATTAAAAGGGATCGCAGACGTTAGTGGTGAGGGGAAAACATATGTTCTTATAAGTTATACACTGAAAGAGGCCTGCAAACTTCACAGTGTACAAGTTCCTGTGGTTACAAATATGTTAAACATCATGGATATAGGACTTTTGAAATGCGTTTACACAGCCGCAAACTTTGATCAAGTACTTTTAATGTGCATGCAAAAAATAGACTTCATAAAGCAGGAACCTTCAATACATACAGCCGTCCCTGAAGTGAAGGAAATTGTAAATTCATTCAGAACCGCATTTCGAAAACATTTCTTACCTTTTTCAGTTGCAAGCCATGTTCATTGAGAGTGGTTCCCAATTTTTGCTCGGCCATGTCTTGTTCCCGTCTCATTTTCGTCTGTCCAATTTCCTGTTCTTTCTTCACGCGACACAAGTCCACCGTGAGAGCTTCTTTCGCCAATGTTATTTCCTGGTTCTCAGCCTCCAAGGCTTCCTTGCGTGATTCCAGTTTTGCAAAGGTCTGTTGGGTTTCATACAGTGCAGTCTCGAGGGATTCCTTGTCGCTCTTCAAACTAGCCATATTTTCAGCCAGTACACGGTTCTCCCGTTCACCGCTTGTAACCTGAACAGTCAGACTGGATCGTTCCCGGGTAAGCTCTTCTTTCTCTTTAGCTAATCTCACTACAAAATGAAAAAATTATAGTTTGAAAAAAACATTTGAAACTGGGAGAATTTTATCAATTTCGATGGTGTTCTATTAGGGAAGGATGTATTGAAAGAGATGGAAGGAAATTATTGTGCAATACACTCAATCACTAACACATAGTAATGTGCATGTATTTTACCGTGTTTCGGTACACAATACTCGAGTGCCAAATCTGGTTAAAAATTAGACCATACCAATACCCACCTACGTTATTACTCTGGCGCTCAAGTTCACGTCGGGTTTGATTCAAATCGTCGGAAATTGTAGACTTCTCACGTAAAGCTTGGTTCAATGCCTCGTTAAGTTCCGAGCGTTCACGAGAAGCTACGATCAGTTCCTGCTCGATCTTTTCTTTGCCTAATTCGGTAATACTGAGTTTTTGATCAGAGGTAGAACGTTCTGTATCTAGATCGATCTTATCTTGTTCGGCCTTAATAAGTTCATTTCGTATGCTGTTCTTCTCCTGTTCTAGCTCTCGTTTCTCCTCGCCCAAGGAGTCTCGCTCGTACTCCATTTGTTTGATGATTTTATTCAACTCGATCTTATCTTGACCTGCAAGAAATTTCATGGTAAATGATGAATGTCCTCACGAAGATATCGGTCCTATTGCGGCAATGGTAGCAGTTTTTCTCACTGTCTGTCACTCATGGAAGAAAGCAGGGGCAAGAAACTGTCCGAATACAAATGTATTGCTTAGTCACAACCTCGCAAACTAGGCATTTTACTTGTGCCTCCACAAGAAAACACGCTAATGTTTGCGAAGCTTCCTTATCCAAAGTGATACATATATATATATAATCATATAGCACTCTGCGGAGTTGTTAATGGGTGTCTATTAGCGATAATGCAAAGCTCACTTCCCTTGTGGACGTTTGAGCACTCTGGCCCCATTACGCTCTGCGCATGTCTGGATACGTTGAGTCACCGTGTTGTACCACATGCCTTGGTGAGAGCAAGTTCATGGGGGTATAAATACGAGTGTCTCACGTATCTAGACGTGTACCAAGCTGCA